GGTCTTAGCTGTGAGCAGTGCCCTTGGGCTTAAACTCCCAAGACCACTCCACAGCGCAGAGAGCCAGGACAGAGTGCTAAAATAGACACAGTCACTCAACTTGGGCTCCAGCACCGAGAGGGCAGTTTGAACTGGAACTGTGTGGGAACCCTCTGGATTTGGAGGGCTCTCAGAGCTTTTGATGAGTTGCGGCCACGCAGGTCAGTGGCCAACTTACTCTTTCCCAGGGCTCTGGGGAGAGGTGGTGCCCCTCCCTCAGAGATTCAGCCCCACCCAGGTGGGCCATTTAAATGCAAATTGAGGCTCCTTAACAACCTGCATCTGCCACATCCTCGGGAAATCCCCTTACCCTGAACACCTCAGGTAGTTTTTCATTCAACTGAAACTCAAGCTCTTCAAGTAACTATGACTAATAGCCTCCAGGCAAAAAGCTGGAGAATAACTGAACCATTCCTGGGCTTGCAACGCTATCCAAGAAATTAAGACTTGACAGTGGTGTTTAACATGAGTCCTCACATGCTCATTCAAACCCAGTAGAGGGAGCCAAAACAGCAGAACACCAACACCCACAGGGAAAATTTGGCAGGCTCCAAAGCCCATTGAGATAGCCAAACCGATGAAACAAAGAAACAAATGCCAAATGAAAGAACAAGAGACCTCTACCGAAGATGAGATAAATGAGGTGCAGTTAAGCAAGTTAACAGAGCTAGAATTCAGAGCCATGATCTTGAGGAAGCTCAACAGCATGAGTAAGGACATCAACACCATGAGTAAAGACATAGAAACATTGAAGATGAAAAACTACCAAGAAGAAATGAAGAATGACATAGCAGAAGTAAAGAACACATTGGAAGGTCTAAGCATCAGAGTAGAGGAAGCTGAAGATCGGATCAGTGAATTAGAAGACAGGGTAGAAAAAATCAACCAATCAGAAAATCAAAAGGAAAAAACAATAAAAAAACCAGGAAGATAACATAAGAGAACTGTGGGACAACTGGAACTGTAATAATATTCACATCATAAGAGTCCCCGAAGAAGAAAAAAATGAGCAAGGGTTAGAGAATATATTTGAAGAAATAGTGACAGAAAACTTCCCTAATTTGGTGAAGGAAGAAGGCATTCAAGTTCAAGAAGCACAGAGAGCCCCAAGTAAGAAGAACCCAAACAGGCCCACACCAAGACACATAGTAATTAAAATGCCAAAAATTAAAGAGAAAGAGAAAATCCCAAAGGCAGCAAGAGATAAGCAACAGGTTACCTACAAAGGAACCCCCATAAGACTCTCAGCTGATGTCTCAACAGAAACACTACAGGCCAGAAGGGAATGGCATGAAGTAATCAAGGTCATGAAAAACAAGGATCTGAATTCAAGACTACTCTATCCAGAAAGACTATCATTCAAAATAAAAGGTCAAATAAAGATCTTCCCAGAGAAAAAAAAGGTTAAGGGAATATATTAGCACCAAACCAGCACTGCAAGAAATGTTAAAAGGACTGCTCTAATTAGTAGAAGAAATAGGAAGAAAAATATAACCACACTAAACCAAAATGGCAATAAATAAGTACATATCAATTATCATTTGAAATGTAAATGAATTGAATGCTCCAATAAAAAGACACAGAGTAGCTGATTGGATAAGAAATCATGACTCATATATATGTTGTTTACAAGCGACCCACCTCACAACAAAAGACACACATAGGTTGAAAGTGAAGGGATGGAAAACAATCTTCCAAGCAAACAGAAAGGAAAAAAAGCTTGAGTAGCAATACTCATATCTGATCAAGTAGATTTCAAAATGAAGGCCATAACTAGAGACAAAGAGGGCCATTACATAATGTTGAAAGGATCTATTCAACAGGAAGATTTAACCTTGATAAACATATATGCACCCAATATAGTAGCACCAAAATATATTTTAAATCTTCTGGAGGACTTCAAAGGAGAAATCGACAGCAATACAATCATAGCAGGGGACCTCAACACCCGCTGACATCACTGGATAGATCCTCTAGACCAAAAATTAGCAAGGAAACAGAGACTCTAAATGAAGCACTAGACCAAATGGATTTAATAGATATTTTTCTTTGTCTTGCATGTGGTTACTTGAATAAACGGTCATAGGTCCGTTTGGTGAAGAACTCAGGGAATTACTTCCGTGTACTTTTGAACAGTCCGTTCTTATAAGAACCACCCACTTTTCCATCAACAACTTCTGGGTCAAGAGTTGGCAGAGTTCTTAAAAGTGGGCAAGGAACGTTGAGTGTTCATTGAAGTAGCACTTCAATCATCTGATCATGTATTAGTAATCTTTTTTGATGACATATATGAAGCAATATCCTTGTTAGCTGTTTGTTGTCTGTCTGTAAGAACACCATCTTCTGATAGCTATTTTCTTAGACATATGTGGGCCAGGGTCCCTGGTTGTCATTCTAAGCTTGCTGCTCATTATAAAAATGATTCATCTTGCTGTGATAGTTAATGCTGCCCTTTAGCTTCAATTATTCTGGAGTCCTATCATTTCATTTGCTGCTAGGGAATCCAGCTCTGCAAATCATACCTGTATTACTCCAACCTACAGAGGACAGTCTCACTGAGCATCTCAAGGGAGCAGCTGTCCTCTTAACAGTGCATTTCTTATTGTCTTGTTAAGGTGGTGTCTCTGAGGCCTCCTGAAGACACAGTCACCTGATGGGTGGGTTTTCCAGTTGTAGAGAGTAGAGCCATGCCATCTTCCTTAGGCTTTTAGATCCCTCCCAACCTTTTCTTATTGTCAGCCCTGACAAGTCTGGTATTTCTTTTTTTTCCTTTTATTTATTAATTTGTTTTTGTTACAGATGTTTCTCATTTTTCCCCTATTGACACTCTCTTTCTTTTCCCCTTCCCCTATGCCTCATCCCCAGCTTTATTGTCTATGTTCATTGGTCATGCATACATGCATGTAAGTTCTGTGGTTTGTCTCTTTCCTCACAAAGCCCCCTCCTCTGAAGCTTGTCAGTCTGTACCCCACCTCTATGTCTCTGGGTTTATTTTGTTCAGCAGTTTGGTTAGTTCATTATATTCCACAAATGAGTGAGATCATGTGTTATTTGTCTTTCTCTGCTTGGCTTGTTTCACTTAGGATAATACTCTCCAGGTCTTTCCATGCCGTCTCAAAAGATAAGAGATCTTCCTTTCTTACAGCTGCATAGTATTCCATTGTGTACATGCACCACAGCTTTTTAATCCACTTATCTACTGATGGACACTTGGGCTTTTTCCAGATCTAAGCTATTGTAAGTAGTACTGCTATGAACATAGGGATACATATATTCTTTCTGATTGGTGTTTCAGGTTTCTTAGGGTATATTCCTAGAAGTGGGATTACTGGGTTAAATGGCAGTTCAATTTTTAACTTTGTGAGGTAACACCATAGCATTTTCCACAGTAGCTGCACCAGTCTGCATTTCCACCAGCAGTGTACTAGAGTCCCCTTTTCTCCACACCCTCGCCAACACTTGTTGTTTGATGATTTGTTGATGGCGGCCATTCTGACAGGTGTGAGGTAATACCTCATAGTTGTTTTAATTTGCATCTCTCTGATTATTAGCGATGTTGAACATTTCTTCATATGTCTCTTGGCCATTTGTATATCCTTTTTGGAAAGGTGTCTATTTAGTTCCTCTGCCCATTTTTTATTTATTTATTTATTTTTTTAATCCTCACCCGAGGACATTTTTCCATTTTTTGTTCAGATAGAGCAGGAGGGAGAGAGAGGAAGAGAGAGAGAGAGAAACATCAATGTGAAGGGACACATCGAGTGGCTGCCACCCGCACGACCAACCAGGGCCGGGGACAAACTGCAACCGAAGTACGTGCCCTTAGCGGGAACCGAACCCGGGTCTCTCAGGACCGCAGGCCGACGCTCCAATCGCTGAGCCAAACCGGCCAGGGCACTCTGCCCATTTTTTAATTGGGTTCTTTGTTTTTCTTGTGTTGAGTTGCATGAGCACTCTATACATTTCGGAAATTAACCCTTTATCTGATGCATCATTGGAAGTCTGGTATTTCTTCTTCTACTTCATCTAGTGTGCACTGTACTTTATATAGTAGGCCTCTAAGAGCCGCCCAGGAGCATATTAGAATCACTGCCTTTGGACCTTGCCAGGCTGATTCAACCCTGTGGCCCAGGAGGGTGTGCCTGTATCAGCATCCCCACCCCCAAGTTTTGCATTCTAACCTTGTTTTTCCAGGATCCACTCCCACACACAATCTCGTAGCACCTGCTGGTATATGTTGTTCAGTCCTGCACCTCTACTGGGGTAAACCATCTCTTCTCGTTCATCTAGCACATTTCTAGTTTGGTTGTGCTGAGAGAACTCTGCATAATCTTAATTCAGGCAAGCTGGGGTGTAGGGCAGGGGTCTGTCTACCAACAGGGCAGGGATTTGCAGGCCAATGGGTTCAGGAGAATCTAGGTTCAGAGTTCTCGGTGCATCTACTTAGAAATCCCCATTCTGAGTTTCAGGGCTTCATGCTTTCTTTATCAGGCCCTTGACTTTGAAATCAGAGGCTTCCCTCAGCTTAGAATTCAGTCTTCCCTGAAATTCTGTCATTCTTAAAATTAGGGCCTGTGCCAGGCCTTTCTTATTGTCTACCTTCCAGCTGCAGTTGATAATTAATTAAGGTATTTAAGCCTGCCATGTACTCCTTTGACCATTGGTGGAGTGGAGAAATAGCTACCTAATTAGAGAATTCTTAGTTACTATTTTTTTCTTTGTAAATGCTAGACAATTGCATCAAGAGAGTCTACCTCCTCCCCCATATGTCATTCAGTTTCCTTCAGGTGAATGTTTTTGCAACTGCACTGTTTCAGTACCCCAGGAACTATCAATATGCTGCTTGCAACCATCTGGCTAGACAGTGATCCAACTCAGAAGTCCATGCTTAGGACTGGCTTGCTAAGACCATTATATTAAGTTGGGTTCCCTAAAAGCAAAGTCTGAGATAAAGTCTCTTAAGTAAGTGATTTATTGTGAGAATTCTCTCAGGAGGAGGAGGAATAAGGGAAGCAGGGATGCATGGTGGGAAAAGCCAAGCAAGGGTGTGGTTATAGCTGCAGACTAGCTCTGGCCTGATTCCTTGGGGAGCACAGGAACGTGAATCACTCCGCATGGTTGGTTCAACCTTGGTGCTGGGAACCAACACTCAAGCCGAAGAGATGTAACTTCCGGTGAGTCAGGCTCTATTATGTTCAAAGCAATACACTGGGGAGAGGTGGCAGCGGCAACTGAGCTGCGGGATGAGAAATCGGCCTGAAAGCGGGATTTTCTGGGGTCCCAACAGCGTCCACTACAGCAGTGAACTGTTCAGCTTTGGTTTCTGAATAGCGAAGACTGCTTTAAAATGCTCCTTAAATTCCACCTCGGATAGGTCTGAGTCATTGCACTGGAAAAGAGAAACAGGCGAAAATAATGACACTCATCTGTGGCATTAGACTACGTGCAATTGAAAATGATCAGGACTTTTGTTTTAAACACCTACGTTACATTAACCAGGTTAAGTTTAAAAACTCATGCAGTTGAGAGTAACTTTTGCTTCCTAAGAGCTCGATTACATCTTGTTGTCTAGTCAGAAGTGGGAAATCATTACTACACTGAGGACTCTTCATTCGCTTTGTGTTGTTTCTTTTAGTGACAATTAGGAAGTAATATAAAGTCTTAGTAACAGTCAGATATTACAGACGTCTAAATCCAACCAGTGATCTTCCTTTCACATTGTTTCTCCTATTTTCCTCTGGTGACATATTCTGTGGTTCATTTACATGCAAATGAATCTGCACTTGGGGACTTCTGAGAGGTCTGATCGAATATATTTGGAGACAGATAAGAGGAACAACATGGCTTGGGACGGAATCTTCTCCTAAGGTTTGGAGCAGGGAGGACACAACTGTTCTCCACCGGCACCTGTCGCCTTTGAAGGGAGGAAGGAGCTCTCAGGGGCCTGGCGTCTGGTTGCAGGGACACCTCCTGACTCACTCTTACTCTGTCTGGTGAACTTAAATCCTCAACTTAATAACCCACTTACACGAACCCTTCCTGAACCCTTGCTTACACAGGCTTGTCATCGGATGAGGGAAACTACAATTTCGCAGGAGCAGGAAATGAGGGTAGAGTGACTCAATGGACAGAGAAGGAAATGGCAGCAGGGAGAGCCACTTACCCTGGGGTCCTGAAAAATGTGGTTCATGTCCCGCACAAACGCCTCCACTTGGTGGTACTGTCCCTCAATGAGATTCTTCTTGATCTCGTCCAACTTCCTAAGTTTCTTTAGGCATCGAGAAGCCTGTTCAACCTGGTGAAAAATACGTCAATAGAGCATTACTGACTCTATTGACACATCAATGTCTGCCGCCCGTGGATTCCCATGGAACCCAGGGAAGCAGAGGGCGCATATAATGCAGCTCGGGCTCTGCCTCCCATGGGCTCCAGCTCCCAGGTCCCACAAGAGCCCGTGTCAGGTCAGGTAACATCATGGTGGCCTGTAATCATGGTTTGTTGTCATTACTTACATAATTTTCATGAGGAATATTCGGAAAAACATTGCTCTCTAAATGGTGATAGACCTTTAAGAGGACGAAGTCACATTTCTGCAAAAGAAGGAGGCTGTGAATAAAAACAGCTTGAAGAGAATGGGCCCATATGCATGTGCGGACATGACCACACCAGTCTTCTGGAAGTTTCCCCAAACAGGTATTGCTCTTGGACACTAACATGTAATAACAGTTTTCTTCTGCAAACACATTCTGGTGTTTTCAGTGTGGTTGAGGCATGGTCAGAAGAGCAGGCACCATTGGACAGCCCCCACCCCACACACCCCATGATTGTTTGACTTCCCACACATGAGCAGAAACACAAAGGAGAGAGGTCTTGGGCTCAAATCCAACTCACCAACATCTCCTCACTCCCCATCGGCCTCCCAAGGATCTCAGATTCCTTGCAACACTTCTGACTTTTTGGACCCATTTGTATTGTGCAGAAGGTACATCTCCAAGGGTTCCTGAGATGTCAGATGTAAGTGAGCAAAGCAAAGCCCCAGAAAAGCCACCATTCCTATGGCTGCCACTGTTTTCCTTTCAGGAATGGCCGATGGGCACAGCTGGAGTTGAAGAGGACACCCCACAGATTCTCTAGGACTCTCATGTGATCACCCTCCTCCCACCAATGGTAGCAGCAGGGGTTCTGTGGGTGGAAGGTGGTGTCAGCGTGAGTGGTGGGCTCTTCTTTCCCCACCTGAGCTGCTGGGAGCACAAGGGGCCCTGCCCTCCGGGATAGAGTGTCGGAGACTGGGCCTTAACTCCTGGGGACCTCGGGCCTCCATTAGTCTGTTGAGAACATGGTAAAATGAGGGAACCTGTCCATGTTTCCTGCCTTTTCTGAATAAGCATAGAACACAAACATCTGGCATGTCCATTCCTGTGAACAGGAGTCTACGGGTAAGTCCTGGAAAGGACAGTAGCGGTATGTAGGCGAAGGACCCAGCCACCAGCCTCAGCCTCCCAGAGGAGAGAGCAGAACATTGCCCTCCAGCTGACAGTGTCTTTAAACAGCTCCCGGGATCAGACTACTGGACCCCATACCGCCAACCCTGCTCTTTCCCCATCAGGACATGAGGAGGGTTCTGCAGGGGGAGTGTGCAGGGCAGGAGAGGGTCCCTAGAAGGAGAGAAAGGACGGCATCCCACAAACCTCTCCGACTCCACAGGCGGAAGGTGACAGTTCCCATGAAAGAAGCCCAAACAATTGACGCAGCAGTAGAGCTTCCCTTCATCCTGGCAGATCCGGCATTTTTCTGAGATTTCCTGCCAGAAGGTAAAACAATGTCTGTATCCCCGGTGAGACCCTGAAGATCAGCGTGGTGGGAATCTAGAACTCCTTGCCTTTGTGCGAACCTGTAAGGACACTCGGTGCCCCACCCTGAGCTATGGACAAAGGCATGGAGTGGAGGTTTCGGATAAAGAATTCTTGGTTTGCAGTCAAGTTCAAGAGGAGTGGCCTGTGTGACCAGAAAGGATTTCCCTATGAAACCCGAGATTCTATGGCTGACAGGGAACTAAACCCGACATTCAAGGGTGGGCTGGGTTACACATGGTCCCCTGACAAGGAGCATTGTTCAGCTGTGGGACCTTATCCAGGGGAGCTTGCTACGTAACCCTGCCCATTCTGGAATATCAGGTTAAGGTTAGTTAAACAAGCCAGCCACAACCTCCCACAGAATCCAAGGGGCCATCTCACCCTCCACAGCCCTGGTTGTTCTCTCTGTTCCTGGCAACCTTGGTGAGGCCTGCACGGCTAGCACTGCCCTCCTTCCTTGGTCTGGGAGTATATGTGACTAATAACCACCTGTCCATCCATCTGCCCCGTGACAGGAGCCATTATTTGGCATCTCCCAAACTGTCCAGAGGACATCTTCCCTCATCAGTGGGGTGAAGAGGAGGTGATTAAAACAGAAAACTGGGTGGCCAGTGTGGCTCAGTGGATTGAGCACTGTCCTATGGATTGAGAGGTCCTGGTTCAATTCCCTATCAGGGCACATGCCCAAGTCGTGGGCTCAATCTCCATAGGGGGCATGCTGGAGGCAGCTGATCAGTGTTTTTCTTTCTTTTTTTTTTTTTTTTTAATAATTTTTTCTTCATTGATTTTAGAGAGAGAGGAAGGGGAGGGAGAGATAGATAGAATCATCAGTGAGAGAGAACATCAACTGGCCACCTCCTACATGCCCCCTACTGGGGATTTAGTCCAAAACCTGGGCATGTGCCTTGACCAGGAATTGAACCAGCGACCCTTTGTTGCATCGGTCAATGCTCAAGCACTGAGCCACACTGGCTAGGCCAATGTTTCTCGCTCAAAATGATGTTTCTATCTCTCTCTTTCTAAAAAATTAATAAAAACATACTTAAACAAAACAAAATAAAAGACACAGAAAACCACTTTTTTTTTTTTAAATGAAAATCAGCATCTACCTATGAATCAGAAATATATTTGCCTCTGGTTCTGTCTTCTTGGAGAATTGAGACAGTTTGAGAACACCATGGGGGTCGTTCTATCCCAGATAGAAACATGCAGTCTATCCCATAGTCTACTGAAGAAAACTCTACCGCCTTGTGACCATCTGAAGTGACACAAATGAGATTGACTTGGGGACTGGCCCACCCATTGATGAGTACTGGGTGGAGGGAAAGTGGTCCACTGAGGAGCAGGAGGAGGCAGGGATGACAACGTCCACCTTTCTCTGCCATGACCATTTCTGCTCTCTCCAAACATGTGAGGTCTGCACCATCCTCTCCTGGGTTTACTCCATCAGCCTCACTGCTGTGTCTCTTTCCTTTGTCCTCCTTCTCTTCCTCTAACGTTCAGACAGACTCTCTCATGGTTCCATTAAATCATTCTCAAAGCTGCAGTTACATCACTATGTCCCAGCTCCCAGATGTCCAGCCTGTCCTGTGCATTCATGCACACCCTACGCTCACCCAGCATCTCCCCCTGGGCCTTTAAAGCACACCCCAGCCCTGGCCGGTTTGGCTCAGCGGTTAGAGCGTCGGCCTGCGGTCCTGAGAGACCCGGGTTCGGTTCCCGCTAAGGGCGCGTACCTTGGTTGCAGTTTGTCCCCGGCCCTGGTTGGTTGTGCGGGTGGCAGCCACTTGATGTGTTCCTTTCACATCGATGTTTCTCTCTCTCTCTCTGTTCCTCTCTCTCTCTCTGTTCCTCTCTCCCCCTCCCACTCTACCTGAACAAAAAATGAAAAAATGTCCTCGGGTGAGGATAAAAAAAATAAATAAATAAAAATAAAAAAAAAATAAAGCACACCCCAAACTCATCCGGTCAAAACGTAGCATGTTCTCCTGTCCTCACACCCACTACATGTTTGTTCTTGGTGCTTCCATTTCATTAAACGTACACCGTTGAACACAAACCTGAGAATTCATCCTGGTTCTATACTCTCCCTCGTATCCCCGATCCTATCTATCTCCACTCCTTCTCACAGTAATTTTTAAACTTCTTGTGTTAGTTCCATTGTTCCTGCAGGGTCCACTGTGCACAGGGTTGCTAAGACCCTAACGAATGGTTCCACCCTAATACATAGAGAAAAGTTCTCTGTTTCTCAAAGTCTGTATTATATCTCGGCTAACAACACACAAAGGTTAGAAATGTCCTTCCTGAAGCCATTGGGCAGAGTGATTTGAAACATAGTTATGTTATATCTTTTCATATAGAAAGTAATAAAAGATGAAAAGTTAGCAATTAACAATTATTTTCAATCTTACTCTGGACTTTTAGGTAAAAATTCTTGTGTGGGGCTAATTTAGGTTCTGGTCATTTCTTTTGCTTTTAAAAATGGTCATATGTGAGAAAGATCAAAACTGAGAAACTTCTTGCCAAAAGCTTCCACTCAGTGTTCTGGAAGAATCCTGAATCCCATCCCCAATGTGGACTGAGACTGCACTAACTTGGAGGTCTAAGGCCATTTTCCTTCTTCTCACTGTAGGGACCCACACATTCCCTTAATTGTTCTTCAGAAATTGGTGACCCACTTCTCAGAAGAACAAGGAAATAACATATGTAACCAATACGAAATAATTTTGCGGCCCTAATCATTTAATCAAGACTAGGTTCTTATGTCTTTGTTTCTTCGCCAGCTGCACATTTGAATTGTCCGAGAAAGTGTATAAAATTATAATGTCCTGGTCCCAATGTCAGAGATTCCGAATCAATTTGTCTGGGTAGGGCATGGGTATTGGTATGCTCCTTAAGTCATAGAATGAGTAAGTTAGTGTAAAAATAATTTGGTGACATTTTAACAATTCTAATGTCCAAGTCATCTCAGAATAATTTAATCAACATTTTGTCTAGGATGGGTTTTAGACTATGTTATTTTTCAAAGGTCTTCTGGTGATTACAGTGTACAGCCTGAGTTGAGATTTAGCCTGAACAAGTGTGGTTATTAATGCATGAGGATATTGTAAGTCAAGGATGAATTGGCTTGTAATATCTATCCTATGAAAGATTACTATCAGGAGTGAGGACACCCTTGCTGGGACAGTTGTCTTCTCCTCTCCATGGACTCTTGATCATGAGTAGTATGACATGACCCTCTCGGTCTCCTCTATTATTCAGAGTCCTGGGAACCATACAGTATCCCAGAGATAACTCTACCACCTCCTATAGCTCTTCTGGGGCACCACCCCAAAGTTGAAACAAATCTAAGGTCCTTAGGCCTACAGTTCTTTTTCCAGAGATGGCATCTAGCTGACTTTTCACAGGAAACTGTAAGATACATCCATCGCCCAAGAGCCCCCTCCCCAACAGCACCATCCTCATGAAGAATAGGCCAATTGTTTCTGCTTGAGAAAGCATTTTGCACGTCTGTGTGTATGTTTTATTAAAGAGGATGTGAAAATCAGAAAAAATATGCTTTTACTGTCTTATGACAAAGTATATGGTTTGTTATATGTTTCAAGATAGACTTTGTACTAGACCTGGTTCATCTGGATGATGGTGAGCAAATTTTTGCTCCATCAGATTTCATTAAAGTTAGAAAATAGTAACCTTTTTGAAAAAAAAAAATCTGGGATTGAGTTGAAGGTAACTCTGTGACCTTATTAAGAAATGCTTTTATGGCCCTGGCTGGTTTGGCTCAGCGGTTAGAGCGTCAGCCTGCGGTCCAGAGAGACCCGGGTTCAGTTCCCGCTAAGGGCATGTTCCTCGGTTGCAGTTTGTCCCCGGCCCTGGTTGGTCGTGCGGTGGCAGCCACTCGATGTGTCCCTTTCACATCGATGTTCCTCTCTCTCTCTCTCCCTCCTGCTCTACCTGAACAAAGAATGAAAAAGTGTCCTCGGGTGAGGATAAAAAAAAAAGAAGAAATGCTTTTATGTACTCTGTAATTATGTTTGCTCTTACAACTTGGACATCTGCATCTATAACGAAAACTCAGGTATGGGATTACTTTTGATGGCTCCTTATTATCTTCATCTCAAATGATTTACCACTCAAAGATGACCTTGCATGCAACCTAATGTTCAATGGAGAAAATCTGAAGGCACATGCAAAATATATTAATTAATTAAATAGTATGAAGGCAGTGGAGAGGAGAACAAATAATGTTAATTATACTGAGAATACATAAAAGACATGCTGTACATATAAAACCAGTTATGTAATCAGAACTTGTATAAAGTAATAATCACCAGTCTTCTTCTACCATAGACTCTTGGAGGTGTAGGTAGTATTCCTTCCTGAAAAATAAAAAGATCCAAGTGTATGGTTGGTTGACCTGATTTCATGTTTTGTGAGTCTGGCATTTCTAACCTCCTCATAAATATTTCTTCTTGGATGTCCCACTATCAACTCAAACCAAACTGAGGTCTCCCTCTTCTCACCTGTACTTATTTGAGAATTCATCACTACTACCCAGAAAACCACCTTTAGAACACGTTTCCTTGCTCTTCTGCTTTTCCCCTATGTTTTAAGAGGTTTTCCTTCACAATCTCTTTGACACCTCTCACCTCCTTTCTATTCCCACAAGTGCCACTCAAGGTTATGTCCTCACGCTAGGGCAATTCAACCAACACTTGTATCCCACACCGACAGGGTGTCAGACACTCTGGACAGTGTTGGGCACACACACATGTGCAAACTCTAGAGGCAGAAAAAGAACAAGAAATTGTGTGAAGGGATAAGTATAAACCAGTGTGAGAAGGGACTTAATAGTGGGGCCCAGGGAAGGGATGACGGGGCAGGTCAGTCAGGGAATATTCAGAGAGGGTGACATTGGAGCTGAACATGGGGTTTGACTAAAGGCTTCTTGGGCAGAAAGACAGTGAAGTCATTTCCAGGCCTCATGCCTGAGATGCTGTTTTAAGTATGTCATTTCACACCTCAGGAGACTCCCTGGTTCTGCTTTATCTATGCTATGAGTTTGAACTCATTAGCCTGGCATTAAATCCTTTCACAAACAACCTCAAGTGATGGATTATGCCATCCTATCAGATGCAATCCATCTACTTTAACCCATGGAGCCACGTTAGTCGTGGTTCACACTATTCTTTCTCGGGAGTGCCTTCAGCCCACATGTGTGACTGTAGACCATCTTCTCTCTTTTAGTGCACAAAGTTGTCCGCAAGCACCTGAGTCAGCATGACCCTTCCCTCATCCAAGCTCCTGCATCTCCCTGGAAGGAGCCTCTTTGAGAAATTGTTGATCTGCTTTGTACTGAGACAGAAGGGATGGGCAACTCTGCCTTAGAAAAGGATAAGTTCAAGGACCTCAGGGCTCTAGCTATAACTTAACGTATATTTGGTGATAAAATAGCAATATTTGACTACAACAACAAAAAGGCCTCTCCCCTGTCCCAACACTGGAATACCATTATCAGCTTTCGGAGCGATTTCCCACCGCAGCGCAGACTGTTCTTCCAATTACTTGCACTTTCGTAGCCTCCTCTGATTTCCAGTTCCCTGAGGCTGAACCAGTTTCCATCATCGCTTCTTATGCACTTCATTGTGACTCCTGTAAGACGGGGTAAGTTGATACTGAGACCTCTTTGTCCTCAGAGCTCAGACGTTGACCTCCTACCACATCGTGCCTGAAGCCACCCAATTTGGGTTCAAGATCAATAGCAGGAAAGTCTGGCCTAGTCTTTATACTTGAGAATCCTCAAACCCAACATGTAAGTCCCCTCCAAGGAGATTTCTTGCTTTGCATTGAAATCTCAAGTGGGGACCGTGTTGCTCACAATGGCACCAAAGCCACATCCTATGCCCTGTATCACAACAATTTTCTTGCATTTCAGTGGCATTATTAAGCAGACATTTTTCTGTCCCTGAAATCATGGAGAGCTGGCTTTAAAGTCATTGTGAAATAGGTTTCAGTGGAAAGTGTAACTTAAACATAAAAGATAGTTATGTACTTAACAACATTAGTCATTAGAGAAAAGGAAATCAAAACTTTGTTGAGATAACTCATCTTGCCCAGTAAGATGGCTGTAATGAAAAAGACATAATAGCAAGTGATGGTGAGAATGCAGAGAAGTTGGACACCTCAGAATTCCTGGTGGGGATGTAACCTGGAGAAATACTTTGGAAAATAGTTTGTTTTTTCCTCAATAAATTAAAAGTAGGATTACCATATAATCCTGCAATTCCACTGCAGAGTATGTAGCAAAAAGAATAAAAAAAAAAAAAGAACCAGAAAACTACACAAAATAGCATTATCCATAATAGCTAAAGAGTGAGAAAACCTAAACTTATAAATGCAATATTGTATATCCATACCATGGACTATTATATTATTTGACAATAAAAAAGAATAATGTATAATACATGGTGCTATATATGTGAACCTTGAAAATATCATGCTGAGCAAAAGAATCAGTCACAGAAAGGCACATGTTATATCAGTCAATTGATATGAAATGCTTACAATAGGCCAGTTTATAGATCACAACATTGATTAGTGGTTGCTTAGGGCTGGGTGGTGGGTGGGCACTGACTGCTGAAAAACCTAGGGTTTCCATAGTGGGGGACAAAAGTGTTCTAAAATTAGATTGTGATGAATGTTTTATAATTTTGTGAATAAACAAAATAAACAAACAATAAAACTCAACAGTGAATTCTACTCTCTAAGCAGTAAATTGTATGATATGAGAGTTATAACTCAGTAAAGTGGTTTAAAAACAGTTATGATCCAAACATTTATTTATATTAATTGGTGTCCACAGAGGCATATTATAAACAACCTGATATGAAGTTCATCATAATAGACAATTATTGGAAAGCTTTATGATGTTAAAATCACAAAATATTCTATGTTCATTGTGTAAATTAACTCTCAAAGTACACCACAAAGCAGGTTTTTAATTATTATCCATTTCTTAGATGAGAAGTTTCAGGCCCAGAAAGGTCCCGTTCTGTGCTTGGTCACTCTTGGCAGAGCTCAGGCTGGGACTCGGGTTTTCTGATTCAAAATTCTCTGATCTTCTCGCTACATCAAACACCCTGTCCTGGCGATGACTTTCAGCAGGGGTATAGAATATGAGGTGAACTCTGAAGGCTTCTTCCCTGTTATATCTGATTCGTAGTAAAATATGCCATCTTTTTCACCCATACACTGACATTCTCTGTGGTTCCTTGGGCATCCTCATGGACACTTCCATGTGGGAGGAGCACTTACTATGCACCATTTCTTAATATATAAAAACATCATCTTTAGGGATCCCTACCTCCTCTCAAGCCAATCTGGGGCCACAATTTCTTGAATGATGGGTAATTCACATGGGTAATACCAATCACATGGGTGATTTCTTCATATAACTATTGCAAATTAAAGTAGACCTTGGAACCTACCTCGTTCCAATTTTCTCTTAATTAACATCCCTGATGATTCCCCACAGGTCACAGGAAGTAATTCATCATGAAAATTCACACTCATATTGGTGCGATGTATTGTCCCTGAAAGAGAAGATTCTTCATTCTATCTCATTTTACAGTTGTCCATGTACATCTTCCTCCCATGTTGAGGTAGTTTCTATAAAGACATAGGGGTACTTAGGAAACTTTATTCCACATATCTCCAGAGTGCCAAAGTCTTTTTTCAGTGGCATTGTTGATGCATAACCAAAGTGTCTACCTTGATTTTACCTCTCAAATCTCACAGCAAACAGAATGCTTTACCAGAGACACCAGGCATCAATAAAATTGTCTTAACTCCCAGTCCAGTCACCCCCTCCCCCAGATTCTTACATGACAAGGAAACACAGGGCTGCTGTCATGTGCTGCAGGAAGCTCCCCAGCTCTGCTATTTCCCTGCAGTCAGGTAGCTGGAGACAAAGTCGGAGACTGTGCCTGTGGCTCCCTGTTTGAGCTCCGACGCAGTGAGCAAGAGGATAATGGTGGGGTAACCTAACGAAGATGGTGTCTGCCTGCTACTTGTGTTCTCTGCTTTGCTCCATTTCCCCCCACATCAGCTCTCTCCAGAGATGAAAGAGGAGCTCAGGAAACTCTAGAACCATCTGCAAATTGCATGGCTGGCTGGACCATCTGAGTCTGACAATGGTGTGTCCTTTATTAAAAGCTATTTCCAATACACTGATCATCTAACTCTATGACCTCATCTCCTCTGTCCACACTCTTTTCTGTTATAGCACTTCGGTCACTAAAGTTAGCTGTGCCCAGTAAAGGTAGAAAGGGATCATGCGATAAGGGATCCTTATTGCATTGTGATCAGGACAGAAAAAGTGATGGGGGATTAATGGTGTTATATAGACCAATTCTGAAAATCTGGATTCTGTTCTGACCATTGCTGATAACAATGCCTTGTTCTGTCCCACTCTTTGGAGTGCCTAGAATTTTCAGTTTAATTTTGGTTATGTTTTTGGAAATGCCTTTGCCCTGCTTGTGTCTGACCCTTCTGGATGAGATGTCTGAGTGACAATAGGAGATTATTGGAAAGACAGATGAAGTGACAGCCAGCGGAATGTACACGCAGATTTTTGTGAAGGCAGTGAAGGAAGAGCAGAGATCCAGACACCTGAGGAGGAAACACCTAGGAGGCATGAAAATGGAGAGGCATTAATGATTTCTATCTTTCAGAACTGCCCCGAGTCCTCCTTCCAGAAGGACACCGCCTTGGTCCAGCTCCTCCACCACATAGATGCTGAGTGTGTTGCTCTGCATCAGATACAAGGACATAGGGGCTCGTGTCAGCGTCTGCTCATCATGTGCAGAGTGTCTCTGGACATTGTCCCCACACTAATCCTTAGTTATTGGTGGAGGATTGTGGGAGGACAAATATCATCTGGTTGGTGTCATGGACACAGAGGGCAGATTGGATGGACTGGCCCCAGGCTGTGTCCCTCTCCTATCCTGCCCCATGAAGGACTAGACACAAAGAACAGAACCAAAACTCTGAGGTTTAGAGGTGGTCAGTGGCCCACCTTACCCACAGCTGATATATTCTTCTTAGGAAACTCAACAACTCAAATGCCTGTTTCTGGGTCACCACGTGTGTCCTTGGATTATGCCTCTTGTGTGAAGGCCAGGCATCCATTGGCCTCTCATGTAGACATGATGACTTGCCCCATAGGAGTGATCACCGGAGACATAAAAACGTTACTGTGTAGGAAGTTTGTTAAATGAAGAAGGAAAGAATTGGAATGAATTTGTTCCTAGCTTCCAGGAGTCAGATTAATCATCGAGGCTGGTGGAGTGGTGTCCTCGTGGGGAGACTTCCAGAATATGCTGTGAGGTGGATCTGTTGGGAGGCGATTCTCCATGGATCCACATGCCTCAGAGCATCTTTTCAAGGATGTGTAAATAGCAAACATTTTTCAAAGCTAAAGTTAATGTAGCCTTCCAGATCAGAGGGCATATTTGTTTCCTGACCACATCTCCCTCCTTAGAAATATCCCAGGATAGTAAAGTCTCCCTCCTCGTCCCAGGGGAGACCTGCTTAGGTTCCAGGGTGACAGTTATGTTCTGTCTTTTGATAAAGATCTGGATTTCACAGGAAAATATTTTACCCAGAACTCATAGAATGATATATTTAATATCTGTATATTTCATTGTAAATATTATCTCAGAGCAAAAAGAAACGAAATAAAAATATTGAAGTCTAGTTAATAATATGCATGCTAAAGTGTTTGGAGGGTGGTGTACTGATTTGTGCAACTTTCAACTGTTTCAAAGTTGAGGATGGTTAGTGGATGGATAGGAAGATGGATCGATGGAGAGAAATGAGATAAAGCAAGAACAGGACATGTTAGTTGTGAATCTAAGTTTACTGTAAAATTTTCCAAGTTTTCTGTATCTGTAAAGTTTTTATAATTCAATGGTGGGAAACAGAGATTTGAGGGAGCAAGTAAAGCTTATTAACAGCAACAACAACAAAAAATTACAGTTACAATAAAGGAAGAATTTCCATTAACGATACAAGAGATCCTAGGAGACAATGCAATGATCAATATATTATATTGAGGAGACATAAATGTTCACTTAGAATTTTTAAACGTTCTAAAAAAATTATATCAAAATAGAGACAAATTTGCACATGTATATTTTTATATAATTACTGCTTTTTTACACTCTCACTAAAAGAACCCAAGGCTTTATTCAGGCAGATCAAAGGTGAAACCAAAGAAAGAAACAATGATGAGAAGTGATGAAAAAAATTGTTTAAGTAAATAAATTTTAGAAATGCTTGTGACTACAAAATAATAATAGTTTCAAAATTTATAATTAAAATTTTAAAAACTAATGAAAAAATGTTAATCACAATAACTTAATGATGGAGATGAGATGTTCAATTTGTGGGAATCCATGCTAAGGTTCTTGTCATCTGTTGAGATTAGGGCATGATTAAAGAGATTACGAAAGTTTATCTCCAATTTCCAAACCAGCAGTGAAAAAAGGTGGAATGTAGAATTTTCTCCCAATCAGAAAGTAGGGAAGAGACACAAAACACACAATACTATAGGATAGAAATACTATAGAATATATAAGCCCTCATATAGCAGGAATCATAAAAGTAACAAATAAAACTTAATTATTTCTAAATTGATTTTTTTTTTATTAGAGAGAGATAGAAACATCTATGTGAGAGAGAAACATCAACCAGCTGTTTCTTGCACACACCCCACTAGGGATCGAGCCCACAACCTGGGCATGTGTCCTGACTGGTATTCGAACCCAGACCTCTCAATCCATGGGATGACACTCAATCCACTGAGCCACACTGGCCAGGCAAAACTTAATTATTAAAAATTAGGATTATCAGAGAAGATCACAAGAAGCTAAGTATCGTTACAAGAGACAAAACAAAGGTGCATAGGAGGGCTTATGAAAAGGGGTGAAAAACATAAAACATAAAAGTTAATGTAACAGTATCAGCACCCTGAAAGTGAGATTTAAAGGCAAAAAATATTCATAAAGATATATATAGAAAAAATAAAAGATATAGAGGAACACTCTATAACTAAAAGGAAACTAAGTTATAACAATGAATAGTGTCAATGTTTTTAAAATAAAACAACAGAACATGGAGGATTTGGCAAATATTCAATCATTTGGGAAATTTAACACATCTCTATACAAACCTGGTAGAACAAATACAACTTAATTTACCATGGATCCAGCAGATTTAAACAGCTGTGCTTGATAAAGAGGATGTATATGGGGAAAAGCCAGAGCCCAACAAATAGTTCAAATGTACATATTTTAAAGTGACATGGAACATTTACAAATATTGATCACATACTAGGTTCTAAAGAGACTTTCAACACATTTTTAAAGAATTGATACTGTGCTCTAGACATCCATTTTCCATTCCTAATTTACTAACAGAATATCTGCATTTGTGGAGATGTCATAGTCCAGACAAAATACCATAGGTCATAACTTCCTTAATAGCTTCTAGGACCACAAATTTAAGATTTGATGAGTAAGATGAGAGCAGAATATTGTTGTGGGAGCAGGAGAACTCTAAGAAAGCTTCACACAAAAGGGGAAGATATATTTTGCTCTTCTCCATTTCTCTTTTGGATAACCTAGAACATGGCCACATGGTTGGAGCTCAGCAGGCACCTGGGAAAGTGACATGATCTTAAAAGTAGTTAAACTGAAAGATAGAAGCATCTTCAAAATGCACATAGCCTAACATAGCTAAAACCATTTTGAAAAGGAAAAAAAAATTGTCTTTCTACCTGAAAGTTAGTAATTTCAGGAGTAATTATAATGCTATAATAATCAAGATTGTGTGGTGTTGACACAAGGGTAGACACATAGATAAAGAGAACAGAAAAAAATTCCAGAAATACACTCAAACTTCAATGACCAATTGACTTTGAAAAAGGATGAGAAAGCAGTTAATTCAATGTAGAAAGGATAGTCTTTTCAACAAATGGTGCAGGGACAATTAGATAATACTATGCTAAAAAAGGAAATTCTTACCTAACATTGTATACAAAAATTAACTGAAACTGGATCACAGATCTAAATGTAAGCTCTAAACTATAAAACTCCTTGAAGGAAACCTAGGATCTTGAGTTAAGCAAATATTTCTTAAGTGGAACATATAAATAACTCTTTCGCCTAAAAAAATAGATACCCAAATTAAATAAGGGTAACAGGTCTTAATAGACACTTCACCAAATGAGATCTGTGGATGATGGCAAGAAAATGATGCTCAGCATCGTTTAAGAAAATGCAAATTAAAACTACAAGAAAAACCATTACATATACCTGAAGAATGGCTAAAATGAAAGACTAACAATACCAAGTACTAATGAGTATGTGGAGCAATGGAACTTTCATACATTGTTAGTAAGAATGTAAAATGGTACAACCGCTTTGAAAAACTTTGGCAGATGCAGTGTCAAACACGCACTTATTTTCATATCACCCAGTAGCACTGCTCCTAGGTATTTATCCAAGAAAAATAGAAAACATGTCCACCT